ATTTAAAAATGCCAAGACTTAATCTCTAATAAAATTAGCAAATTGTCTCGATAAGTTTAAAATAGTGAATATTTCATTTTTCCTTCAAAATTAATTAATTTTCAATGCAATCATTTTTTTAGGTTTTTCTAGTGGGAATATTTATTTATTTTAAAATATCGGAAAATGACATCTGGTTGTCTTAAGACTATCCCTTCTTAATATTTTAATATACATAAATACTACCCTTAATCCAATTATGTAATCGGTTAAGTTATGCTAATGAGGCTTTTAAACAAAAATAAAATATGATACATTGAAGCACTTAGAGAAAAAATATAAACACATGGATTAAAAGAACCATTTTAAATTTATTTTTAACTTTATATTGCTTTATAAATATATACATATTTTCTAAATATTATATTAAACATAGATCATGATATTTATTCTAAAATATAATAAAAATATAAAATAAAATGTTTCTATCATGCTATAATATTATATACAAAGTAATATATAATAATAATACAAACAAAATAAATATATAAAACATATTTTAATGGTAAAATAAATAATATACATTTATATTTATTCATTACATGGTGATAAAAAAAATAGTAACCTTAGTATCCTAAACATCAATAAACAAATATCATGGCATGAAACAAGAAAATAACCAAAACATAAGCACTAGAATAGTAAATAATCCATAAATATAGGACTAAAATGAAAGATCACAAATAACAGTAACCAATTTCGAATAAAAAAACTTACAATATTGGACTAAATTAAAATAATACAAAACCAAGTATCCAATTCAAAAATCATGTAAAATAAAAGAAACTAGGAACACGCTGAACTAAAAGGGACCTAAGGATCGATTAACCCTAAAAATCACTAAAACGTGAATCACCTTAAACATAAAGGACTAGTATGGTGATTTAACCTAAAACCAGTGGACCATAGTGTATAACACACACTAAAGGTCCAGGAACCTTATCGTGGTTTACCCAAAAAACCTAAATATCAATATCTTCCCCCCTTTTCAGACTCATTTTGCTCGATGGATTTCTAAACCCAAATCTCCTCTCTTTTCTTCCTCTTCTCTCAACTCACGACAGCCTCTCACCTTAAAGAAATGAAGCATCACCGCCTCCGCCACCCAATATGGGTGGCCATATTCTCGTCCGACCAAGGCCACCTACGATGCTACCCTTTCCCCGATGATTCTATACATCGACGTATACCCCAACAACAAGGTAATCTAACCCCTAAATCTCTGTTTTATTTATTTTATTTTCGAAATAGCATAGAACCAAAAGTAAAAACCAAGATTAGAATACCTTCAAGAATTTGATTGCTGAAAAACCGAGAGAAGAAAAGCCTTTGATCTTTTTTTTTCTCTATTTTTTGGTCTAAATAACCGAGAGCCAGATCCTCTTTCTCTTGTTACATGGTTTTGGTTCTTATAACCAATTTTACATAGGTTTAAATAAATAAATAAAAATTCTAGCTTTGGTGTAATGCTCCGGATATCCCGGGGTTTTGTTGATAACTCTGACAGGCTTGGCCGGCTGTGGGAGGAGACCTGGGAAATGAGCAATACATACATACTTGATAGCGGTTTTGCTATCTGGATGCCTTCAAATTAGGCGTTCTATTTGTTGCTATTATGATGTGAATAGTTGATGTGCTCCCTACCCCATTGTTTTATTATGTGTACATATTAGGTATGTGTACTATTCTTCTTCTCTGGTCATTAATAAACTTTTTATTAATACTCGTTTATAGTAATTGTCAGCAGTTTCCTTTTTATGTGTTTTATAGTGTTCACGTGTCTCCCAATATATATATATATATATAAACTAACTCACATTCTCACACCCATCACATTATCAATTTTGTGATTTTCGTAAGGTTATGCTTAGAACACAAATTTTATATTTTATTGTACCAATATGTTCTAAACATGTTTAAAGATGTTATTTATGTTTGTATGCTATGTTAAGCGATTATATATGAATTTAGGACGAATATAGGGATTTTTGGTATGATATCGAATGCTAAAAAAATAAAGTTTCGGGCTTTATCAATACCCTATTGAGGTATCACTATTTGCCGAGTGTCCGAGAAAATTCTGAAGAACTTTTTGAATGAAATTTAGGAATCATCAGTATCAATTTTCAAGTATCGACATTACCCTTAAGTTATTGATATTGTGACCTTTGTATCAATACCTCAAGTTTGAAGGTCTTATTTTTTCCAATAACGAAATAAATTTTGGTATTGATATCTTGTTAGTGTACTGATACCGGAGACAAGTTATCCACACTAACTTAAGGTATTGATATATTTTAGGGTTGAAATTACCCAATAAATCTCTTTTTAACGTCCTTAAGTTTGCCTATGCTAATAAAGTAATTAATTGAGTGCAAGTGACATTATTAACAAGACTAATAAGACTTATATGAATAATTCTTCTTGTGTATGAAATAGTCGTAGTGATGGCGTTGTGTTGATTGGATTAAAGAAAGGTATTATTTTACGCAATCATATTGGTGCTAATTTAATTTAAGATCTTGGATAGATAGAGGAGGTTAACGGGATAGTTTTTTTTTTTGAAAATTTTAAATTTTCTACTTTTTTTTCGTCCTAATAAATTTATTTCTTGTTAATTTTTAAAAGTAAATTTTTTTTAACATTGACCATGATTATTTTAAATATTTTAAACAATTAAATTTTATAAAATGTATATTTAAAAATTATTTGATTGAAGATTTTTAAAATATATTATTTTTCATATTTTATCAATAATAAATTTTAAATAATAATGAGTTAAAGTTAAAAAATGACAAAAAAACCAATAAGAGACAAATTTAACGGGAGAGACGGAGTATAATTTACGTATTTTATTTGTATTGTTTTACTAATAATCTATTTTCATCTCCTAAAATTTTATAAGTTTATCTCTTAACATAAAATCTTGTATATGTCCATACTCAAAATATTTGAGGCACAAGTTGGATAAACCAAACACCGATTATTATCATCATCATCATTATCTTCATAACGGATTTGAGGTTGTCATAGTCATTGGCACAATAAAATATAAAATAAACTACATATTTAATCACTCAATTATTCTCACGATTTTATTTTGGTCACTTAATTATTATTTTTAAATTATCATTAAACTTAAAATTTGTTCATTTTTGATCACTTGTCATTAAAAATTAAATCGAACTATTGGCGTGATAATTTTCATTTATCTTTTCAATGGCTTCATGACAGTATATTATAATGATACGTCAACATTACTATTGATTTTTAATGACTATTAATTTTTAATGACGGTGTATGATGTTCACTGTTGACTTATATATATATATATATATTATATATATATATATATATAGTGATTTTTTAACGATAATATATATATGTGTGTGTATAAATATCAAACCGGACAAACCTATTCCAAATTAAGTCGGCCTGGTCAAGATTTGAAGACAGCTCTCAGGCGAAACATACAATGAAGGTTAATACATGCATGTAATGTGTAATGTTCTATAATTGAATTTGTTCAACCAAAAATCTTAAGATTAAAACAAAAACAGAGTTAAAAAATTAAATGACGATATTATAATTTTAAAAAGTTGTAAATATTTTTAAGGGATAGTAGTATATTATAAGTGTTAATTTCTTTTAAAGAATTTAAATTAATTTTAAAATAATATTAATAATAGGGATGAGTCAACAACGAAAGTCACACACCTATGTACATTAATATAAAATATAGTAAAATTTACAAATAGTAATTAAGTTGTGTTAAAATGATCTTTTTGGTCATTTAGCTTGCAAAAGTTATAAAATGAACATTAAACTTTGGATTTCGTTAAAAAACATTGACTCTTAACTATCATTAAGGGATAACGTAGCATACTAAATTAATAAAAAAATTATCTCATTTGATCTCTTAATTGTGAATAAAATTTTATTTTTGATATTTTTAATGTTTTAAAGTAATAATTAAAAAAAATTAAAATTCAATTTTTCAAAAAATATATGGAATTTCACATTTTATTTTTAAATTATAAATATATTTTAAAAATTATATTTAAAATTATTAAATAAATTAAATAATTGATTCATATGGCTTAACAAAAAAATTGATTTCATTTTTTTGATAATTAAAATTGTTGGATCTCGAAAATTATAAACTATAAATTTTACAAATAATATTACAATTAAATAAAAATATTATTATAAAATAATTTAATAAATTAACAAATTCATAAAGTTGCAATTTTAAAAAATATTTTTATAATTTTAAAAATGAATTGTGAATTTATATATATATATATATATATATATATATATATAATATATATATATATATATATATATATAATTATATATAATATATATCTTAGAATTAAAAACAAAACAATAATACAATAGTTATTTTTTTTACAACAATAATATAATTACACCTTTTACTAAACTTTAGTAAAAATAAAACGTAACATCAATGAAAATCTTATTAAATGAAAACTTGATGACCAAAAATAGAAAAAAAATAATTTGATGATATAATAATATAATTTGTTTTTTAAATTAGTGGATTCTAACGAAACATATTTAAGAGATTAAAATTCCTTTTAATTATAAGATAATGAAATTATTACCTAATAATTATACCTTTACACAATTAATCAATGATGGCTGAATATAATATTTTTTTTTTAAAAATATTTCACCTTTTCTACTTTTTGTCTCTCTTTTTTTCTTGCTTAAAAGTTTTTGATCTCTTAATAATCGATACCGCCTTTAATAAATTTAAAAGTTTTTATGGTTTTTTTCTTGATGATCAAGACTGCCAGAAAGATACCTTAAATATTTTGTTCCCTTTTATTCCCTCCCCTTTCCCATGTTTAATTCAACCAACGAAGAGGAAGATCTTTGCCCACTGATTTTCACAATGCAGTGCCATGCAAGTCCTTGAGTGAAGAACAATCATGAAGCCAGGTTCGAGTTTTCTGAGGAAGACTCGAATCATATATAGTGATCCTTATGCTACAGATTCATCGACCGACGAAGAAGAGATGAAAAAAAGGAAGAATCGAATTCTGGGTATCAAGCGATTTGTCAAGGAGATTACTCTTTCAGCTGTTCCCATCGATTCTTCGGAAGACAATGGCAAAAGACGTCGAAAATCTAGCACCATGTCCACGGGTGTTCGACAAAGGCCTTCGGGAAAGTTTGCTGCGGAAATTAGAGACCCCTTCACCAAGAAACGTCAATGGCTTGGCACTCACGACACTATCGAGGAAGCTATCGCTGCTTATCAGAAAAGGAAAAGCGAGTACACGATTATGGCGACCAAGGAGAATAAGAATTCATTGTCGGCTCCGCCATCTCTTTCTTCGGTGCTCAATGTTCAAGTCAATGCCATTGAAGCAAGCCATGAGAAGGAAACAATGGGAGATCAGTACGTAGTGAAGAAAACCGTGAAAGAATACAAATTTGTCCAGCAAAGGAAAACTAAAGTGGTCGAAAAGGTATCCATTAAAGATCTGTGGAAGGATGAGGCATCGATTACAGGGTTGTGGGAACCTCCATCGGCTTCGGATTCATGGGACGAGCTCTTCGGACAGTATGGTCTCGAGAATCATATGTCTAATCTTCATAACCATCTTCTGTTGAACGACAATGGCGTCGACGACCGGCTGGAGAACGTTGAGTTGATTGATTTGCCTGACATGGAAATAGACAATGAGTACATGGCTTGGGCGGATGAAATTCTAACAACTGAAGTTGATTTTTGTAGATACGAGGTACTATTAGCCCAAGTTAAATTTTAGTATTCTTACCAAATAATACCAGCAAAATACAAAGTTAAAAGAAAATTCAAAATTAGTTTCTTGTTTCGAACACAGTAGCATTTAGTTAGTTCCTTCTGAGATCATTATTCCGAAATTATTATTGTACAACTGTAATATTACCGTAATATTACCCATCATGTCTATAATTATGATAAACTCAACCAAAAGCGCGATCATAACGACAGTTTATCCCTTCTGCAGTTCATCACTCAATATTCCCATTACTTTTACCATAAAAAATATAGATTCAATTGGCAAAAACTATATATTTATACATAGAAGTAAAAGCATACATTATGTTACTAAAAAATAGCAATCTTCTTTAAGAATCCTTCAGGAAGCAAGAACCAGATAACAAAAGTAAAAGATTATAGTAAATTATATTTAATTGTGATATTAATCGTTAAAAGTGATCAAAATTTATATTTAATTGTGATATTAATCTCCAAAAGTAAAAAACAAAAATCGAGGTAAATAATTATGATAAAAGAGGAAGGAAGAGGATGGGACTGTGGAGTTAGAGGTGACGGCCATCGTTGCCCCCAACCGATGGCGCAGGTAGAGTGGAGGCAGGGACGAAGCAATAATTAAATATTGACAGAGATCAAAATATTAGAATATTTAAAGAAAATATAAAGATTTATTAGATATTTAAATTTAAAATTCAGCTCGAATCAAGCGAACTTGTGATTAAGATATTGTTATTATCTTTGAGGTCTCAAGTTTGAGTCCTGCACATGGAGGGGTATGAGCGCTCATTGTCAATTAGTCGAGAGTCTTTGTACAAATATTAACTTGTATTCAGCCTAGATTTATTAAAAAAACTCAAAATTCACAATATAACACCTAATTTGTCTAATATTTAAACTTACAATGACCTAAATTATTATTAGACAAAAAAATTTGAGAACACGAGATTATCCATCTTTAATTCGTTCCTTGATTAAATATTTAATAAATTCTTATATTTTTTAATTTAAATATTTATTTTTACATAAACTAAAATATTATTAGATCAAAATTATACCGAATATACAAAAATTATTATTAGACAAAAAAATTTGAGAACACGAGATTATCCATCTTTAATTCGTTCCTTGATTAAATATTTAATAAATTCTTATATTTTTTAATTTAAATATTTATTTTTACATAAACTAAAATATTATTAGATCAAAATTATACCGAATATACAAATTTTAACGGCCGAACCCTTTGGGCCCTCACTAAGCTCTGCCCTTGAGTGGAGGTACCGGCGCTGTTTCATCGAACTCTTCTACTCCCTTCTTCCTCCTCATCTCTTCTGCAGTTTTTTGCCCATTTTGAGTTACTTTTGTGCTTAGGCTTTCACTACATGGTGTGCTGAAGGTTTACTATTAAAAAATGGTAAAGTACACAAATGGTCCCTCTATTATAGGGCGCTGGTTTGTTGAGTCATCCGATAATTAAAAGTTACAAAATGATTCTCCGATTATAGTGTGTTGCTTTATTAATCCCCTCGACTATTAAAAGTTATAAAATGGTCACTCGACTATTTGTACGTTCCAAATTCGTCCTTTTCTGTTAAAAAATGAAGGTTGTCTGAGTTGGACATTAACATGTTAATTGAGATATGATAGTAGTTTAAGATTTTGGGATCATATTTTATCATGCCCTATTAAGCATGTTAATTTTCAGCTCAGACTGTCGTCAATTTTTTAACGAAAAAAGGTGAGTTTGGAATATATGATTAGTCAAGTGGTCATTTTGCAACTTTTAATAGTAGAGAGACTCAACAAAGCAATGTCATATAGTTGGGGACCATTTTCTAACTTTTAATAATAAGTGGACACAACAAAGTGACATCCTATAGTCGAAGGACCATTTATATATTTTACCCTGAAAAATCAAATCATTTCTCTTAATTTCGTCGAGTAATTTTAAGGAATATTTAAACATCAAGTTTTAATTACTTCTTCAAATTCCTCGTACGAAAATATATTAGTTATAGTAATTGCAAAGTACACAAATAGTTCCTCGATTATACGGCGTTATTTTATTGAATTTTTCGACTATTAGAAGTTACAAAATAGTCACTAGACTATTCATGTATTTCAAATTTGTCTTTTTCCGTTAAAAAAATAGTAGTCATATGAGCTGGACGTTTATATTCTCATTGGGATATGAGAAAACCTGGTCCTTGAACTGTTTAAACTGTATTTTGTGGACCGATTCTCTATTTACATTATGTCATTGAGTTAGTATTTAAAAACAATGGTGGTGCAAGTAAACATCATTAAAATATAATTTTATCATATCTCAGTCAACCTATTAACGTTTAATTCAGACGACTGTAAAATTTTCAACGAAAAAGGACAAGTTAGAACATATAAATAGTTTTGTAGCCATTTTATAACTTTTAATAGTTGAAGACTCAATAAAACAACGTCCTACAATCAAGAGATCATTTAATAATTTTTAATAGTCAAAACCATTTATGTATTTTACTCTTATAGTAACTACATTAAATAACTCTAATAAAATGTTTTCTTTTTCTAAATTTCTAATGAAAAGTTTCAAACTTTAGCTCAAATGAAAAATATAGAGAAAATTACTATAAAATCTAAGATAAATGATAAATTCGTCCTCACTTGAAATCGACTATTTTAAAGTCGCCTTCTTGCTACTTCAAATTTAGAACTTGGCAGCAAGTACAAGTTGGCAGCAATTGCGGATGATTTCATCTGTCTCCACTAAGAGTGCGTTTGGTTCACGGAATGTAAGATTATCAGTGGGAATAAAAGATTATCAAGGAATAGGATTAGTGTGAATGTTGTATTTTGTGTTTGGTTGGTTTAACAGGAATGTAAGATTACCGTGTTTGGTTAAAGGAATAAAAGATTATTGGAATGTATATTTGACCAAATTGTCCTTATTATATATTTGTATAATATTACAAATTGTAAAATATTTATATATTTTCTTTAAAAAATTAAATTCATAATATTTATATAATTTTTTTACAAAATTAAAAATATAAAAAAGGTTTAATGAAAGGGCAAATTTTTTTTAACCCCTGAACTTCATATAAAATTTTAATTATAGATTTTTTTTTGTAAATCTAAAATAATTTAAGGATAAATTTGTAATTTAACCTTCGTAGAATTTTTATTATTCAATGACAGAAGAAGGATATTTTTGAAAAAAAATAAAAATTTAAGGGCATTTTAGTCCAAAACGCTGGTAATGTTACAATACCTAAAGGAATGGATGTAATGACATTCCCGGTAATATACCCCAAAAAATCTACTATCGATAATAAAACATTACCGGGAATGAGATTCCCGGCCAACCAAACATGGGAATGTAGGATTCCCATCCCATGGGAATCCCACAATCTTTGAACCAAACACCCCCTAAGGGTGCGTTTGGTTCACGGAATGTAAGATTACCAGTGGGAATAAAAGATTACCAGGGAATAGGATTACTGGGAATGTTGTATTTTGTGTTTGGTTGGTTTAGCAAGAATGTAAGATTACCGTGTTTGGTTAAAAGAATAAAAGATTATTGGAATGTATATTTGACCAAATTGTCCTTATTATATATTTGTATAATATTATAAATTGTAAAATATTTATATATTTTCTTTAAAAAATTAAATTCATAATATTTATATAAATATTTTTACAAAATTAAAAATATAAAAAAGGTTTAATGAAAAGGTAAATTTTTTTTAATCCCTGAACTTTATATAAAATTTTAATTATAGAATTTTTTTTGTAAATCTAAAATAATTTAAGGATAAATTTATAATTTAACATTCGTAGAATTTTTATTATTCAATGATAGAAGAAGGATATTTTTGAAAAAAAAAAATAAAAATTTAAGGGCATTTTAGTCCAAAATGCCGGTAATGTTACAATACCTAAGGGAAGGGAGGTAATGACATTCCCGGTAATATACCCCCAAAAATCTACTATTGGTAATAAAACACTACCGGGAATGAGATTCCCGGCCAACCAAACATGGGAATGGAAATCCCACAATCCTTGAACCAAACACCTTCTAAGAGTACTCGGAAACAAATGATTGTAGCTTATTGTTTTATCTTCCTCGTCACTCTTCTTCTTCATCAACTCTTTATAATCTTCAAGCTTTGTTGAACAGAAATGGGAACCAACAACAACAAAACCTAGACCAAAATACTTCATAACCACGCCCTCTAACGTCTATTTAATTTTTAACAGTCTAGTGATCTGTTTATATCAATCATTTGTAACGTTTTGAAATTGAGTTGCCCATTTACAATTTAAATAATTTAATATTACCACCAAAAATTAAAATAAAAAAATTTAAAGATTTATTCAAAGTCCCATCCTTTTTTCAATTGGAAAAGTTGACCCCAAAAATAATTTAACATAAAAAAATAATTTAAATATATATATATATATTTAAATGATGTTTTGCCATCTGCTTCACAAAATGATGTTTTACCTTTACAATTCAATTCTGCTTCTGAATCACATCCTGTGCAATCTGTTAGTATTATGTCACCTACTATTGGTCCTGTGTTATCCTTAACAAGTTCATCACCTGGTTTGCCATCAAATAACATACAACCTAGTCTGTCATTAAACACCACAAAGCCATTAGATCATGTACCACATGTTCAAACATCAACTAGAGTTACCAAGTCACCTACTTGGTTGCATGACTATGTCCTTACATGCAAATCTTCTTCTCTTTCAGGTCAGTACCCCATTTCTCAAACTTTTTCTTATTCTCATCTCCCAAAATCTACACAGTCATTTGTTTCTTCAAATTTTCAAGTTATTTAACCCAATACTTATGATGAGGCCAAAATTGATCCTAAATGGGTAGCAGCCATAACAGAGGAAATTCAGGCTTTGGAGCTGAATAAAACCTGGACTGTTGTGCCTTTGCCTCTTGGCAAGGTGTGTATTGGGTGTAAGTGGGTGTTCAAGGTTAAACATAAGGCA